TAAAAAGGAAAAGAACGATCGGTTGGGCCATAAATGATACTACCTCCGTTCCTATTTTATCTTCCAACCCACTTTGGCACATAATTTAAGAAAAGTGGGTATTGTGAGGTAGAGAGTTGTGCAGAGGAGAGAGAAATGTGTAAGAAATGTTGTGAACCACAAATTATTTACCAAAAAGGGAAAGTGGAAATATAATTGGAACGGACGAAAAAGAAAAGTTGAAAGTTTATTTAGGAACGGAGGGATTATCATATACCCCAAAGTAGACTATGCGGATAATTTGCACTACTCGTAATGGGGACTAGGCCAGGGCCCAGACTAGGGGGCTTCCTCTGCCACTGCAATACTTAGTAATTTTTTTTGCTAAATAAAGCGGTCTCAAATTTAGAAATGGATTAAAATTTACTACACCAAATTAAATATGGCATGGTTATTCCTCGATATTAAATCATTTTCTCGTAAAATTAAAAATGTACAAACCTTTTAAATAGATGTATAATATTCAAATAAATCCAAAATATTGAAAAATGTTGAAAATTTTCAAAAAAAATTATCTATATTATTACGAATTTTAACAATTTTTAGAAAATGTTAATACTGAGTATAAGAAAACATGCTATTAAAGGTCATAACCGTTTAAATTGCCCAATTGATAAATATTTAAAGTAATGATGGTTAATGATACTTTTTTTAGTATAAGAGCTTAAGTAGTTGACATGAAACGATGAAAATGCAGCCCATCTGACCCATTTCCCATTACTTAATAACATCAATTACATTTCCATTTCATAAGGAAATCAACAAGCTTGAAAGAAAATCAGTATACTTCAAAAAAGTATAATTTGTTTAATTTGTTTAATTTGTTTTCATATATTGATGATACCATGGATCGTAACTAGAGAGAATGACGGAATAACGTAAGATTTTGAAAAACCATTCAAAAAAGTGTAGAAAATATGTACATCCCAAAAGTTGTGGGACCCTCAATAAAATAAATCCCTTAATTTTTAAAATCTTTATAACTTTTGCATTTGTTTTTCATTTTTTATAAAAAATATATTAAAACTCATAATTTTTAATTATCTTTCATATGACACCAACATCACATATATAAAGTTTTTTTTAAAACTTCGAATTGTTGGAGTTTTTGGACCCAAATTTTTCCTTAAATAGATCCAAGTACTAAAATTCAGATCACACGATTTTTTACTCTTAGTCACTCGCGACAATATTTGTAAATTAAATCCTTAAGATTATTATTGTAATCAATTTTATTCAAATAATTTTTACGAATTAGTATGATTTAAAAACTCAAACATTCCCAATGTAAATTAAATAAATTTGGAGTTTAGTTTTTTTATTATTACTCCAAGCCTATTTTTGAAAAAAATAATTGAAAGATGTAAAAACATTAATTGTGAGATCTTGATTTTATCACTTCAATTTCAATTTTATCACTCGAATCTACCTAAGAAATTTCAAATCCTAAAAGTTTTTTAAAACTTTATATGTACAATATTGGTGTCATATGAAAGGTTATAAAAAGTTAAGTTTTTTGATATATTTTTTTGTAAACAATGTTAAACAAGTGAAAAAGTTATTGATAGAGTATAAGTCTAGAGAGAAGGGAGAGCTAGAGAGAGAAGTGCAGTAATTCTTTGCAATAAATGATTTGTGAATCCCCAACAACTACCCCTACGGGGAGTATTTATAGAGGAAATTAAGGCTGGCTCCCAAGTCTTGGGCTTGGGAGGCCCATTTACAATTGAGACACTATTGGGCTGAATACAAGATGTGTAGAAATGACTAAGTACGAAATCCGGTTCTGGGAGCCTTTTGTGGCCGACGGAGCCCCGGCCGACGGGGACACCCGGTTCTCCTGACTTTCGGACCATGTTCTGAGTTGATATCTTTCTGACTAATGGGGGGGGGGGGGGGGGGGGCATCTGGCCGACGGAGGCCCCACTGGGTGACAGCTATGCCTCTCATTCTTCTGAGTATGTGGGTCCTGGGATCCAGGTCCATATACTCCATCAGTTATTAAGCTTCAAAAATGAAAACAATTAATTTAGAGTGAGACAAATCATTTTCTAAAACCTACACTTTTTGGAATGGAATGTAAGAAACATACTCTTATTTGTCAAACACCATTGCAACCATGACCCAAGAACAAATTATTAAGAGTCGGCGGGCCTGACAGGGGACTGTGACCCGTGAAAAGAACTCATGAACAGGTTGGTCTACACAGCGGACCTTAAGCTTGGGCGGGATTCTAGCGAGATCGAACTCACCCTAGGGCTTACGTGACAGGCTACCTGTTGTGCATAGCTATCTGGCAACGGCAGATATCTAACGGAATAAACTTGAACATAAAGGAGTAACTATTACGAAACAATGGGAGACGTTACAAGAGTCCACACATGCACGATTGAATCTATTAAATGTATCGATTATCTGTGCTTATGTTATCATAGCTCTATGTCTATAAATATTTCATGTACTTACCCTAAAAGGGATCCACCACCTGAATAATAAAACCATCTTACGCTGCCAAAATGTCACTACTCTCGTAGATTAACTCTCGTAGTTGAAATTAAACTCGATCACATATATTTAAGGGTTTTCCGTTTTGTTTGAGTATATATACAAATTAACTTATATGGTTTATATAATAGCTTGTTAATTTGATTTGCACTAGATGATGAACCCATGCATTGCACGGGAATACTCATTACACATTAATCAGATAAAAAAAGATTGATTGGTTGTTATTTTTTACAAACTTATTCCAAATTTGAAGTGTTATTAAACCGATCAATGATCATGTTATGAAGAAAAACATTACAATTTCTTACTTTATCTAAAAAACTGATTAAACAATAAAAATCACTTTTGTTCCATATATAAAGGTTCCAACTTTTTCTTTTTTGTGCGTCCTATATAAAGTTCCCATTTCTATTTAGGAAACTATTAAACTCTTAAATTACAACTTAATCATGAGATATTAAAAATAATGCATTTATAATATAACAATTATCACCATTAACCTCATTATATTATATACCTGTCGAATTTATTTTTCACTCCTAGAGGCCGTTTGATAACACTGTTTTTCGGGACATTTTGCAATGAGACCCCTTCAACAGACAGAGGTAGTATATATTACTATTATAATACTACTAATGATTATTTGGGTCCTACAGATATGTATATAATATAAAATACATGATCGTAAAAATAATAAATGACATTTAATTGAATTAAGTGTGTCTGGATGGACCAAACAACTCAATTGTAAAATTGCAAAATCAATTATCCACCTCAATTGCTTTACGCGGGGAAATTGTAAAATCAATTGACCACACCGTTGCCTTATATAATCTAAAGATTTGTGTAGAGGAATTTTAATTTGATAATTAGAACAGAGTCCCTCAATTCCATCAGACGGCCTTGGTTGAGATGAATGCTTGGATAGACTATTGTACGTATTGTTATACGCAATACTCAATCCAAAATGTAAGGTATTCTTTAAAATATTAAGGAGTATCATATTTGATGTTACCAACATGTATCATATCACGAACAAGGATAATATACAATGGACGTACATAGGACTATAGGAGGATGGGTGGTCAAGCTAAATTTAAAGATATTGAATTGGGAGACTAGATATATATGAAAAAGTTTTTTTTACTCCAGGGGTCCGGGGAGGGAGTTTGGGATCGCTGGAGTAATCAGGGTTGAAACTTATTTCATTAAGTCTCATTCCTAGAGACCGTTTGGTAACACTTTTTCCGGCTTATCAGGCTTTTCAGACAACTTTTTCATCAAACACGTAACTTTTATTTTCGCACGCTGAATTGTGTAATAACTAATAATAAGAAAAAGTAAGGTTGAAGTCATTTTTCCGATTATATTGACTGAAGTTACTGTAGATGACCATTTTAGCTATTTTACATATAATTTTTTCTTTATTTTATTAATAAAATGTGTTTTAAAAATAATTATTTCTTAGATCAGCAGAATAAGGCAACGCAACAACTTCGGTCAAAACTTCATAAATTTCAACAGAATAAGCCGGATCAGCCGATTTTCGTGATACCAAAGGACACTTCATCAAACTTTTCATACATGACCATCACGTCCGAATTAAAAAGTTAAAGTATTGTGTTTTTTAAAGGTCGGATAAGATGTTTGTAAATTACACATGCAAGTGATCAGTGGCGGAATCAGGACTCATGACTCGCAGGGGCACAATAACAAAGAAATGATATACTAGTCTAGAAAAAAATCATATGCATCACGAGTATAGCAATAAACAAAACTATAAAATTTAAATAAAACCACTGTTTTTGGAATGATCTGTTGCACCCATTAAAATCACTTTGTGGAAATTTAAAGTCACGCAGTTGGCAAGGACCTTTTCTCAAATAACGTCTCCTCAACTCATCTCTAATATTAACATCATAAGTCTCAATCGGCATAACTTTTCTGTCCAGCACTTTTCTGTCCGAACGCCGTCCGAACACTGGCGTTTGGGGCGGTTCCCGGCGGAATATTTTGATGAAAATTTTTGAACATGTTCCTCATCAAGTCTAGTTTATCCATATTAAACTTCAGCTCAAAATTCGATCGGGAAGACAGTCAAATAATTCGTTGAAGTTAACTGCGCCAAATTATACATAGAAAAACGCAGTTAACTTCAACGAATTATTTGACTGCCTTCCCGGTCGAATTTTGACCTGAAATTTGGTATGGATAAGATAAACTAGACTTGATGAGGAACATGCTCAAAAATTTTCATCAAAAAATTCCACCTGGAACCGCCCCAAATAGCGGTGTTCGGACGGCGTTCGGACCGGGAGGTGCTGGACCTGAGAATTTTCTAATATATATACATATATATATAAATCACCGCAGGGGCACGGGCACCCCCTAGCCCTAGGGTGGGTCCGCCCCTGCAAGTGATTATGTTTGGACATTACGTAAATTACACAGAGGATAAAACATGACAAATGAATAAGACAAACTAATTACAGGCTTCCACTGCCATAGAAATAATTTAAATGCGTCTTTTGGTACAAACTCCAAAGGATACATTTACACAAATTAGATTTTGGTGTAACACACTCCCTCACAAACAAGCTCACACTCTAATGGAATATACAAATGAAACTTATTTCAGTCACTCATTCTTATGAAAAATCTAAAGAATTCAAGTGAACATATTTGACTCGATCTATATTACTAAATGTGGTTATAAAATCTATATCGGAGTGAACTTAATTTCACCCCAATGAGTTTTATTTACACATTTAATTAATAATGTCATATGTGTGTGAGAGACTAGAAATCTAATTATTTTCAATCAAGTTGGGAAACTGCTAGAGTTGACTCCCTTCATATGTTTGACCGAATTGCCAGTTCGCCGGAGCTGCGCCGTTACTGACGGTCATCCTCCCGTCGCTGGTGGTGACCCGGAAGGAGAGGCTCTGCCCATTGAGATTGGAATGGCTCTGCCAATTCTGGCCCCAGTTTCTGGACATTGGCTGCCACCCGGTGCGTGAACCCTTGATTTCTACCTTCTGAACGTCGCCGGCGCCGGCGACATTTGTAACCAGCACCAAGTTGAAGAAGGCGTGCCCATTGATGGTGAACCTTATTCCTCCTGGTCTTTTACATGCCACTCTGTAAAAACAGCAACATGTGTATTAGGTGTCTATCTCACTAATACTCCATAAATTTATGTTCAATTTATTGATCATCCGAAAACGTTAATTTGTTAGAAGGAGTAACTCATATTTTAATATAACATTTTATTATTCACAAGGAGTAACACCTTGCTCAAGACTAGAATTTGTCTGGATTATACTGTCATTCATTTCATCCATAAGTTAGTTATTGTCATTTTTTTAATAAATATCCACATTTATTCGTAGGGACTCATATCATGAAAATGAATTGATTTGACACGAATAATTTGTTAAGATCTTAATATAACATTTTATTACTTAACAATATTTTATGCCGTGGGATTTCAAAACATTTTTTTATAATCAACTAAAAAGTAAAAACTTGAGAATCTCAAGGAAGAGATTATAAATTTGAATCTCATTTCGATATTGGTTTTAACAGTGCGTACAAAATAGATATTGAGAATATGTACCTTCTGAAAGATATAGGGACAATTCCGGCTCTGTATTGAGCTATATGAAGAAAGGCGGGCTCGGCTAAATCGAAGTGTTGCAGGGGAGGGTTGCACCACCCACCATTGCTATTAGATAAACCGGGGTTGGGCGGGCAGAAGTTCGTCGCCGTCACGGTGATGGTCCCGGAGAGGCACGATTTTCCGGCGATTGCGGCGTTGCACTTGAGCTCGTAGCAAGAGCCGCATCTCAAGCCATTGTTGAACAGAGCAGAGCTGAGTGCGGCGGTGTTGGTGCCGTACCCGGAGCTATACAGGTTTCCGTAGCCACAAGCTCCTCCCATCGTGCCGGAAGCGTCGCTGCCGCCGTAGAATGTGGCGTGAGCGCTCTGCCATCCGCCGCCATAGTCACCGGAAGCTCCATGGAATAAACAAAAGTTGAGAGAGAGCAGCAGGATGGGAAGTGATGGTCGAATTGCCATTTGAATTTTTGAGCAGGATAAATATGATGTTTGGGTGTTTGATCATAAGCTATATATAGACCGGAGTCAATAGATATCCCGTGGTAGCATATGTCCCCTTTGTGGAAAGGGCAAATCCGCAAATGGAATATTGTACCTACCACTCATTTGATTGATCCAAATTATTATATTATTTTGAATTTAGATTTAAATAATTTAAGTGTAACATTATGATTGGTCCATGTGAACAAATGTATGGTATCTTAAGGGTATCATAAAATGTACTCAAAAAAGATATTGTATTTATGAGGTCTTTCTGTTCAAGACTTCAAGGCCCTGAGTGCAGATCACTAATAGTTCGAACTAATAATGGAGGGCTAATTTGCCTATTTCTGGAATTTTTTTACCCAAACTTCGTCAATCCAATAAAACTTGACCAAATTTGACTTGCATGTAGGATAATAGAGTAAAAATTGTGTAGTTAAGTTTATACAGAAAAATAAAAAACTACTTTAATCACATATTTATTAATTTAAATGGAGATGACAAAGCTTTTTTAATCGGGAAAAAAAGAAATTTGATCAAGTTTTATGGGACGAAGAAAATATATTTTTAAATAATTTTTTTACATAATACTGAGTATGTAAAAGATTTTTGTATGTAAGTTAGGGCCTAGTAATACCCTTTAATTATTCTTGTATCTATGACTGTATTTATCATGCTTGTACGATTTCAAATAATCACCTTCATTTTTTGTCAAAAGAAGTAATGAACTATGTTGATTGGTTTAAAGTTTCCTGAATATTGAGTCCAATTTGATTTTTGTCGCAAATTAATCTTAACAATTACTCCATTCGTCTCATTTTATCTAACATACTTTCCAATTTGGGTTATTCCAAAATAAGTGTCACATTTCTCGTTTTGGAAAAAAATGTATGATTCATAACATTTTACTTTATTATACTCAAATTTCAACTACAATTTTTAACTTTTCAATCACTTTATTAAAAATTGTGTCAAAATAAAATGAGACACATAAAATGGGGACAGAGGTAGTATAAAGTTGATGAGTTTAATTACCACAACATGATAGTAATATTCTAGGACATGTCACATACTCACATACTACGTATATGATACCCCGTCTTTCCCTAATAACTTTGTCAAGTTTGACCGCCACAGGTAATAATAAAGTAAAAACTGTGTGGTAAATGTTTATGAAGAGGAGAGAGAATGAGCTGAAATCACAAATTCTTTACTTAAAAGGGAAAGTGACAAAGTTAGTGGAACATCCAAAAAAGGAAAGTTGACAAGGCTATAAGGAACGAGGGAGTGCTAGTATATTTAAAAATATGTGCTTTTTTATGATGTTGGTCATTTAATTTGTAAAATGTGAATAGTTTCTTTGGGCTGTGTAAAATATGAATGGTTGTGAATCGCCATTAGATATCCAAATATATGGAACTAATAAAGGGGTAGAAAACTAGAAATGAGACACTCTTTGAATGGACTGATGGAATATTATGCTTGTATAAACTAATAAACCAACACTTATATTGCTCTACACTCAACTAGCTGTCTAGTTGATCGAGACCATAATTCAGAAAAGGCTAGTTTGGTTGTAAACAGGGGCGGACCGTAGTAGAGACCCAGGGGGGCTACCGCCCCCCCAACAATTTTTTTTAGTGTATATATATACGAAAAATAATTTTTGCTCTTCCAAAAAGTATTTTGAACCCCCCCAAAAATATTTTCGCCCCCCCAAAATGACTTTCCTGGGTCCGCTCCTGGTTGTAAACCACATAGATCGCTCTTGATGAAGCCCAGGGTATTATTCTATTGATACGGGGTGGTTAAGAGTTAGAGGTATAAAAACTTTTATAAAAAGTCTTACAAAAGGTATGTGACATCATCACATTATTTAACACATCACATCACAATTACAACACTTTTACATCAATGGTAATTAGAATAGTCACATCACTTGTTTGTAAGTTTTTTTGTAAGTATGTTTGTACTTCTAGCATTTTTCTTTTCCGTGGTTAAATCCAGTGATTTTTATCAAAAAAGGATCATTTCATACATTGCATCTTAATATATACTCCGTAATATACATAGACAAAAAACACGCATATTAAATATTTTCCTATTGGCTACGGGAATTCGGGAAAGAATCATACTCCGTAATATAGTGTTCCGAAGGCTAAAGGGTGCCCTTGTACCGTGTAAGCTCAATTCAGTACCGAACTAAAAAAGGTCCAATTCGCACCCCGAACCGGCAAAAAGGGTTCAAATTTCATTTTTACGGGTAAACAACCTGTAAAAAAGGTCCAATTCGCACCCCTAAACTATTAAAAAGTGTCAAAATTGCAATAAATTGAAAATAAAAAATAGAAACAATAAAAACATCAAAAAAATGACTGATTGTTTACCCGCAAAAAATGAAATTTAAACCATTTTTTATCGTTTCGGAGTGTGAATTGAACTTGTTTTAATTCAAGAACTAAATAGTGCTTACACGACCGATACATGAACCTATTTGATCCCTTAGCCTGTTCGTAAAATCAGAATGCTCAGAAAATCACAAGTGTCTGGAAGAATATGCGAAAAGTTAATGGAGCCATTGGAAAACTCATGTACAGAAAAAACATTGAGCAATTTGCATATGGTGTTCCTCCACTTGAAGCGCCAACGGTCAGCCTCATAGACCCCAGCAGCACATGCATTTCTCAATCCTTCATTTTCCCCATATAGAATGTGTGTCGAAGTGTCTAAATACACTTTAAATATACTACGTAATAATTATATAAACAGGGACGGATCATGGACCGAGAATTAATGTTGTACTACTCTTATGGGTGATTATACTCTGCTTAAACTAATAAAAAAGGTAGGCCAAATGGGAAAAATAAAAACAAACAATTAAAGGAAATTAGCTTACATAGTGTCCGCCAGGTCTAGTGTAGATATGGCCCTGAAATGCCTAAATATCATTTAAATTAGACTTATTATGCATATAGGATTAAAAGTCGATCGGTTCGTACAAATAAGACAAAAGAATAAACTATGTTTCATATGACTAATTATGTGTGTCTTGGACAAATATAACTTTATAGTAATTGAAATGTTTTAATTCATAATAAAATAATAAAATAAAATAAAAATTCTAAAAAATACTAAAGAATTAATAAAAATATTTAGAAAATAATAATTTCAAAAAAATAAAAATAAAAATATTCAAACAAACTAACCCTAATGACTAATGAGTAATGTACTAATGTCGAGAAACAAGTCCATCTTGTTCCAAAAGCTTGCGAGTCGCGATGGCTGAGCCGTTGAGTAGCTGATGAGTAAAGAGGGGTACACTTATGTGACGAGTGTATCTCCATAGGGATTCCGCAAGTCGAGACACACAAATTTTGTCCGAAAGTCATATTCAAATATTTCTTAAAATTATAAAAATGACTAAATACACAATATCATATTAGGAATAAATGATTTTATATCCATGTTGTTTGAATAATTTTATTTATTTTTGTTTGATTTATATATATATATACATACATATATATATATACACACACACACACACACACACACACACTATTCAAGTTATTTTAGTAGAATGTGTTATTTTTTAATACGTGGCATGTTGAGCTGCTTAAATATACTAATAACAATAATTGTTCAATATTGAATATGACATCAATAGATTATTAGTTGTATTTCTTAACATTTTAATAATGGATTAAATATGTTGCTAGTAACACCGATTTAGTATATTTCATTAGTCTATGATACTTTGTTGTATTGGGAGACATGCATGGTAATTTACCGATATCGTACCGTTACCGAACCGAAATTTCGGTATACTGAAACTTCGGTAAGGTAACAGTATATATATTTTGAATACAGAAAGTTTTGGTACGAAAAATGTATGAGAGCAAATATTCGATATACCATACCGAACCACCCGTAATCTGGGGTAGTACAATATAGAAACTTATATTGCTCGAAAGCAGGATTTAAAGAAGATAAAAACAAATCAAATGGAAAGCAAAAGGTCCGGAAGCGAAAATTGACAAGGGAAGGGTGCAATATGTTGGATGTAGCCAACAAGATTTGAAAATTTTTCAGAGAGATTTATAGACTTTCATCAAGGACTCTCATGCTCACATGTTCATTGATAACCTGAAGATGAAAAAAGATGTAACACCGCCCACAAGTATTTGTACTTTATTAAATCATGTATTGAACCCTGAGAAATGAGTAAACGCATTTTACGTGATTGTAAAATTTTCATTTCTTTTACGTGATTGTAAAATTCACGTAGGGCCCACATCGGAAGCGGGGGCCACCCGATATTATCGGGACCACATATTATATTGATCTTGGCCTAGATAATATGTATATGGTGGTGGATATCCAATTTGGGCCGTGGCAAAGGTATAGGGTTGACCGATTGGTCAGATGAGGCCCGATTATCAGTATCGGCAATTTATCAGATAACAGCCCGAAAAGGAATTCTGGGGACTCCTAAATTAAGGTTGAGGAATGTATATTCATTATAAGGTCTAATAATGATGGAGAACATGTGTCATATTTTATTTGACCCGATAAAATAAAATATAATTAAAACAATCCAGGAAATACAACTTTCAGGACCAATTGTACACACCAGGACATAAAGGGATGACCTCTCACATGAGTGGGGGCCACCCCACAAAATTATTTGAGACAAGGCATGGCTTGGGCGGCCAAATAGCAGGGTCGGTGAAGGGAAGGTGTTGACTTGAGTGATAAAGCATCAAAAGGACAAGGTGGGGCCACATTTGTGCTATCACTGTGGAATAAGCCAAATAGAGCCATGTCCTTTCCCCCTTAGCCATTCATCCGACCAAGGCATCCAAGGAAGAGAAAGATCTCTGCAAATATTCATTTCCTCCATTGCAATTCGAATCAAGCTCAAGGAAGAAGAAGGAGAGAAATAGAGGGGAGAAAAGAGGAGGTTAGAGAGGAAAACTCGAGGTTAACAAGGTAATGACT